TGGGGTGGAAATATTTGAGTGTTTGCAATGGAAATGTGTGCATACATGTGTCCATAATGGCGTGGATTATAAGATTTGCTCAGCATGAACTTCAGCATTTCCAACTGTGTGACCCAAGCAAGTTGGGAAGATGTGCAGCTTTAATTACCATGTAAATCTATTAGCTCTGAATTTCCTGGCATTTGTTTTGCTGATGACACAACCTGTATGTTATTCACTTAGTGGGTTTTTTAAAATCTGTCTACATTTTTTTTTAGTGCTTAAAATGAGTAAATGCTGGTGTGAGAGTCCAAACAATTGTGTCTGCTCTTACAGTGGATCTTATTGCTGGTTTCAAATACCAGTTTTGTGTTACTCTTCATATTCTCCCACAAATGAGAGAATTTCAGTATAGTTACTGAGCAGACATTAAATAATTTTACAGTATAATAAAGACATAAAACCCGGGTTGTTTGTACCTACAGGTGGATGGTGAGATTTTTTTTTTTAATGAGTGCCTGTTGTGTACCTGACAGTTCCTCCTGTGAAAGGGTGACGGATCCCTTCAGGATGGGGAGACTTTGGGGTGAGCCAGGAGGGAGCCACTAACTCCCAGGAGGGTAATATCTTGAATTTGTTAGTGGTTTAAACTCTGGCAGGGCTGCCTTGCGCTGGTCTGCTGATCTTATTCTGCAGAGTGCAAAAGGTGCTGTCACTGCAGCTCCCCTCTGGCATGACTCTGCTGGAAAAGGTGGGATTGTGATGCTACAGTTGGTGTGTGGGACTTGCAGCTGATGCAGTGCATTTTCCAGGCTCAGCAAAGCCTGCTACTTGTTTAAAAATTTAAATATAATTGGGAAATATCATTCTGGGCTCTTGACTTTTCTGCATTCCTTTTTTAATGAGTTCTTAGAAGGCCAGTTTTCTGAAGATTAATTTTTAGCCATGGTAACATCATCTTCAGACAACCAACTGGGCTAGTGCTGCTCTCATCTGGCTTCAGGTCAGCTGGTGGAGAAGCCAGCACTGCCATGCACCTAGCAAAACCGGAGTGTTTTGCTTCACAGACCTTCATTTGATCAGACAAGAAATAAAAAAAAAAACCCTGGTCCCTGAGGCAGCTGGAGAAAAGGGCCTTTATGTGGCCGGAACAGGCAGTTGCTGTGCAGAGCTGCAGCCTGCGGCACAGCTGGTGTGCAGCCAAATGCTACTTTCCAAGATCTGTCCGAAAATCCCCTGTGCACCCAGATCTGAGAGCTTTCCTCTGTTTGCTTACTGCAACGGCGTGGCTGGAGGTGTTTGTGCTCCCCAAAAACACCCAGGATGTAGGCATGAGCCAATGTCCAGCCAGATGAGTGCTGAAACTCCTCAGGGCTGCCATTTCCTTTCTGTGTGTAAACAGGAGTGCTGCTGTTGTTTTTTCTTCTCAGGGTTCTGGGGGAAGGGGAGGTGGAAGATAAGGTTACATCTGTCCTAAATCCCTGACTTTTTACAGAGGTTAAAATCCTAGCTGAACACATCTCTCTGCTATGTGGTGAGAACAGTTTAATAATTCAAACAGACTCCTTGTACTAACACATGTCTGCAATTAGTGCTGGGGCTGCCAGTGGGGTGTGAGGATAGCAGGAATCTGGCAGCTGAGCTGTCTACAGAGGTATTAACAACAAAAAGGGAAAAGAAGAAGAAAAAAAGGCAGATTCTCAGTGCAAGTTTTTAAAATTTTTTAAATTTTTGTAAAGGTGAACTCTCTGAGTGAAAGATGCCTAGCTGAAAGCCATAGACAAGGAATTTCTTTCTTGTGCAGGTTCTAAGGGTCAAACTCTCAGTTTCTTTCCCAAATTGCCCTTTCCTTTTCCTGAGCACAGGGCTGGTTGCTACTGTGTCAAAACTGGGGGTTATTCTGGGGCTTTCCAGCTATGGAAGTGGCTGATGACTGCTGAGGTGCATGTGGAAGCAGAGAGGGGAGGAGGAGGAGGAGAGGGGTTGGCAATGGGAGAATGTGCTTTGAAAAGACAGAAGGAGCAGCTTAGGTGTAGGTGGAAGTTTTGGGGAGCTGGAGGTCTGGCTGCCCCCGGGTGGTTTTTGCGTTTGCTGCTCTGATGCCTTTTCTTCTTTACTTCTCTAAGCAAACTGAGCCACGTTCAATGAGACAACTGTTTTATTTGGGACAAAAAGTGATCAAGCTTTAAGCATTCACTGTAGTGGAGAAGTGTATATCATCTGAAAAATTCCTGTAAATCAAGGAGCCCGTGATTTTTTAAATCAGAGTAGTCCAGATCTCTAAAATTGTCTGTTTGCTGAGTTCTGTAGCTGCACAGTCTGACCTGTGGCAGTCTCTATTGGCCAGTGTACAATGTTACATCAGAGATCATTAAAAATAAACTTGGTACTTATAATGAAACTAGAAAATCATTTTAGAAACCAACCATTTATGTACTCTCAGATAATTCTGTTATAAATGCATATTCTATTCTTGCTCACAGCTTGCTGCTTTGCAGCTGCATGTGAAAAGGAGAAAGCACAAATATTGACAAATGTGTTGAACATCCTTCCCCACCCTGAGGTCCTCTTTCTCTCTGGTTTTCTGAAGTTGAATGTTTGTTTCCTCCTTTGCTTTTTCTGAAGTGGTTTTAGTAAAATTCCCCATTTAGAAAGGAAAAAAAAAAATCTGATGGGCCTAACTTCAGTCAAATGGAAAAGTAAAATAATACTTGATAAGCTTTTATTTCATATCAAAACTGATAGACAGCTAATAAAGTTCCTTATTTGTGAATTTGCCAAAAATAGCTGAGTAGCCTGTGACCATGTTTCTTTAAGCTGAGTCTGTTAAGTTATAACATCTAAATAGTCAGACTAAGTCAACACATAGGTATGATATTTTCAAGGATGACATCCTGAAATTGGATGATGCTGGTGGTAAAGCAGCTGCATGTGGAACCCATGGTACAAATACTGTAGCAGCTATATTCCAGCATCTGCTACTCATCAGTCAGAGTAATGCATGCAAGAATTAGAAAGAAGGAAATGCTCTAGCTTTAGGAAAATATGTAAACAAATATAATTTACTCTTGCCATTGCTCCAAATGAAAAGAAATGTGCAGACTGGGGGGAAAAGCATTGTCCCTAAGAAAGGTACTGCTTTTTTATAGGTTCATCCTTGACTTCGTTCATGGATGGGAAGTATTTCTGTGCCTTGTTTACACATTATTGGCTGCCTATACTGTTTTATTCAGTGTCTTTATTGATGTACCAGGATGTTCAACAACTCTTGTGCATCCTTTTTCTTTTTTCTTTGCATAGTGGGGTGTTGTAGTTTATACTTTTGTCCTTGTTGGGAAGCACTTGGTTGTGAAGTGCTACTGAGTCCTTGGGTATCAAAATTAAAATAAACAAGGCTTTCTAAGGTGGTCATGACCCTCTTGCAGAGTCCTCTAAGAGTTTATTAGTGTTATGATTTACAGTAAGTAAATATGAGGCTACAAATATGTTTTGCCATTTGTAAAGGCTTTTCTTGAGCTAGTTTGTTATTCTAGCATAGCAGCTGTGGTCCTCTGTTTATTGCCTTGTATTCAGTCAATATTTTCTTTTCCTCATTGTTGGTCAGCATTGACTCAAGACTTACTGATTTTGAAAAAAGGCACAGTTAGCATTTGGAAGAGGTGCTTGAACATCCAGGAACTCTGTGAGAGCCAGCTGTGCTCAGGGTTTTCAGCATGAGGCTTCAAGCCACAGGTGCTGCTGGAGCTGTGAAATGTGAGTGTGTGAGGGTGAGCACACTGCTTCCCTTGTGAGTTTGTACAATATTGACTTGTTTAATTCTTGATTTAGCCTACAGGAAGCTGAATCTTGAATTTCAGTGTTTGTTTCTGCAGGAGAGAGCATGATGAAGAGCCAAGATCAATACTGCTTGCAGAAACTAAACAGATCAAACAAACTTAGACTTTTATAGCATCGTGCCTCAGCTGACAAAGATTCCTATATAAGATGGTAGATAATTGCTCATTGTTCAGAAAATCTCATTACAATTCACTGTACAAGGATTTTTATACAAAAATAGAATTCTTTGTGTGAATGAGATGAACAGGAATGATTTGTTGCAGTGCAGATCTTTCATCTGTCAAAGGTGTAGTTTTCTGACACTGGAAAGAAGATGAAGAGACAGAGTTTTTGGCTTTTGATGGGAGCTGCATTGGAGTTTGGAGGAAATAGATTGCAAGGTTTGGTTTGTGCTCATTTTGAATAATAAACAAACATGGAATTACTCTGCTACATACAGATCTAACACGTGCTGCTGGTGTAATGAATTCAGTGCAACACACAAAGTAGTAATTAGTACTGGCTGTCAGGAGCTTTAGCTCTGGGGCCTAGAAGCTGGATACAGGCTCTAGGTGGAATGCTACTTCTAAAATAGATACATAAATCACCAGGAAACCCATTTTATAGCAAATGTGTTAATTTCTTGGCTGTGGATGTGCATGGACCCGTTTTTCTGGAGCACACGGAATGTTCTGCACAGCTAAAACAGTCATATGTGGTGTCAGTCTGTGCTGGAATGTGTTTCATTTTTCTTCTGTGCTTCAGCGAACATTAACCCCCTATATTCTATTCCATACATAACATGTTCTGGTGACAGATCCTGCAGGATCTTTCACTCTGTCTGAGGGAAATGTGCTTTGCCATTTTTCCCACTATAGTGCACCGTAGTGAGTACCTTTGGTGTGGCAGGAGGAGACTGCTTCAGGACATGAGTACCATGCTTCCATTTTCCATTTTTGTTGTAGTTTAATGACAGGCTCTTCTGTTGTAATGTATGCCTCTGAGAGGACTTTTGTTCTAGCTGTAGCTCTTCAGCTTGAAGTAGTGATTGGAGGAGGAGGTTGTTAGACAGGGTGGTCGATCCTGCTGCTGACTGGCACAGATGACCAGTGCACACACAGAATTGTTCTCATCTGTTCCCTCCTGTGCTTGGCGTGACAGACAAGAAAGGAGATAAACTTTCCCCTGCCTTTTTGTCTCCACAGCACTTCACAGAGTTCCTGGATGAATTTTCACCTGATGTCCTAGGCCAGCTGTTGAATGATCCCTTTTTGTCTGAGAAGAATGAAATCATGGAGGTGGAACTGTCCCCGGCGTCCCCAGCGCCCCTCATCCAGGCTGAGCACAGCTATTCCCTCTGTGGGGACTCCCGACCCCAGTCTCCCTTGACCCACATCTCGACTGATGACAACTTTAATGAAGGTACAACACACTGAGCCCACATTCATTTATTGTGATAACGCAGTAATGAAATGCTCCTGGTGGAACTGTGGCTGTGGAAAATGGTGATGCATAGAAATTGATGAAAACCCATTTTTAACAGCTATCTGGAATTCAGCAGTTATAAACATCTGGAGGGGAAAAAGGGGAAAGGCAAGAGTGGTGGGAGGAGAAGATCTAACCTTCTTGTTCTGGTGTGAAGTGGTTGGTGGATGAGCAAGACCATGAATATCTGGTAACTATAAGGAATAATAGCGATGCCAGACTTCGACTCTTAAAAATTGGTTTGTCTTCACCATTAGCTTTACAGTACAAAGCAGTGGAGTGTTAAGTTGCATTAGAAGAAAAGGGAGAGAGATAAGTGCTTTTGGCTAAGCATTGACCAGCTTAACTGTTTGTGAAGATCCACCAGACAGGTCTTCAAAGGCTGAGAGTTTTGTAGTCCAAAGTGCTCTGTTGGAACAAGATGAAATCTTTCAGAGATTTGACAAGAGGACAACTAATAAAACCTGTGAGAAGGATTTTTCAGTGTGGGACAGGATTTTTGGAAATGATTGGGAAACATAATCTGCAGAAAGTTTTCCATTTTTCTGTTTCCTGGCTGTTTTATAGGAATATTTTAAAATTAACACATACAGGAAATATTAGTTGTGGAAGGGAAAACAAGCACAAGGAGCGTCAGAAACCAAGCTTTTCTGGAAGTTAATAGGGGGAAGCTTCAAATTAGGCTAAAAGTGAGGGGAGTTTCCTTTGGGGAAAATTCCTGAAGAAATTCATACTGCTGAGACTACTGTAATAGAGCTGTAGTCAAATGATGATTTAAAAAGCCAAGAAGCATTAACAAGTGGGTTTAAAAATAGAAAATGAATGGAAAACACTTCGTCTTATGTTCACTCTGCAGAGTGTTTCATAAGAGAGGAGGAGGAGGAGGAGTTGTTCTTGGTGTTTGGGATTTTATTTAATCCTAACCCCAGAATCATGCTCATGTCCTTTCTGCACCTATTGACTTCAAAACAGTGAATACTTAAAGATATTGCAATATTAGAGTGAACCTGGCTGTCTGATAGATATTCAAAGGCTGATGATTTTTCATTCCTTGAATCTGTGAGAGCAGGAAAAGAGGATTTTTTGGGTGGCAGTACTGTAGGGCATGACGCTGGGGATTGAAAGCATCTCTGTTGTTAGACAGTGAAGGTACACAGTGCTCCTGACAATTCCAGTGAAGACCAGTCCCCTTGGTGGAGTAAGGGCACAGATACTGGGAGCACCAGTGTCCTTTTGGGGACCACCAAGTAAGAGTGTGGAGGGGAGGGTCCTTATGCTCCAGCATAATCCTCTGCTGCTGGGGAGCTGGGAGGGGTTTTATGGAGTGGCAGGAGCTGAGACACATATGGAATGTCCAAAAAATTTGGATTCTCCAAATACCCATCCCAGTGGGCAAATTAGTGAGCTCTTGTAGTGTTTTCACGATTTTTCCCTGGTTTTTGAGCTTCAGCATGCAGGGAGGCTGAGAAAAAGGCCGCATTGTTCAGCACATGATCTTCAAGACAGGTTTAAGCCTTTCGGTGTCTGTTTCTGTCTTTTGTTCCCCCCCCCCCCCAAGTCTTCCACCACCTTACTGAAAATGTTATTTAATGTTTCCTTTCAGCCATTATGGTGGAGTGATTGGTTGCTCTGATTCCATTTTCCTGCCCACTCCTGCAGGGGAATGAGTAATTTCTGCTGTGAGCTGTTTCTTGCTGGCCACTGCTTGGCCATTACTGTAATTTCTGAAACTGCTGAATTGACCTATTCCTGTAATTGTTAATTTTAGATGAAGTTTTTCTAAAAAGAGCTAGAACTGTAAAACTTAGGAAATTCGTGAGTCTGGGTTTAACTTTTCCGAGAAGTCCTGTTAAATTCAAGGTGAGCACACATTTAAGTGTCCATAAAGTAAAGATCCAAACACTGGCTTTCCCCACTTACTGTTTTGACTTCACTGTTTTGAGGCCATTTCCCCAGCTTTGTAAAGAATAACTTTTTTGAATGCTTGCAGCCTGTTGCTAGTGTGGGCTCTCTGAAGGTGTCACTTTTAAAGCACATGTGTACAAGACATCTGGCATTTAATGCATTGTTTGGTTTCTTCTCGTGACAAGAATCTATTCTTAGATTCAGTTTTGCATAAACTTTAAAGATACTAGAGGGAGAGAGATTTACAGGCTTGACCTACCTGCTTGCAGCTGGTTGATCACTTTTGTTTGCCTGAAGTGGTGAATAAGACATATGACCTGGGGAGGGCTGCAGCATGAAAAAGGAGGCTGTGTCCTGTGTACAAACTGTCCACATCAGCTGCACTACCACCTCTCTCCCACCAGGCTTCTGCTTTCTAGTTTTGATACCTGGGCTTTTTGAAACAACTGCAGAGTGGCTGTGGAGGAGGACAATGGGTAGCTGTGGAGTGGAAAATGCTCTTGAAACAACAAGAAGAAGCTGGGAGGGCAGACTGGGAATAGGGCTGATGGGTAAGGGAGATCTCATTGCAGCCTTCCGAGGCACAGCTTAATTTCTGACAGCTGTAAAGAAATAGGGAAAGAAGCCTGATTTTCTGTTGTGGTTGGTGCAGGTTTGTTTTCAGTTTTTCAGTCTCTGCAGCCTTTTAGAAAGGGGGGGCTGTGGGTCAGACAGCCAGGAGCAAGGCAAGACCCAAGTTTCAGTAGGTTAATCTATGGTTAATCTAACTAACAGGCTATGAGTTAATCTATGGTTAATCTATGGTTAATCTAACTAACAGGCTATGAGTTAATCTATGGTTAATCTATGGTTAATCTAACTATGGTTAATCTAGCTAACAGGCTCAAGAGTGTAGGCTCTTTGCCTGCCCTCCGATGCTTGACCTTGTTAGCTGTGGGCACAAACTTTGACATTGTGGCTGTCCCTTGTTTTGGACGTGAGATGCATGGGTGACAGCTGAGTGCAGGTAATGCTGAGGGGCTGGTGTGTAGCAGGAATGTGAAGACAGAGCCTGCAGCATCTCTGTGGGGCTCTTCATCCTCTGAGATCAGTTCAAGTGCTGAGGGTGTGTTGTGGTGGGTGTGTGTTCGATTTTTCCGGTGTTTTTCACTTAGTGAGCCTGGCAGGGCATAGACAATGGACACCTGGCCAGTGATTTGGATGCTGTGTCTCCTCAGATTGTGCCCAGGTTGCTGGGTGCATTCCTTTCCCAGTCCCTGGAGGGCTCTGCTGTTGAGGCTAGTCTGGGTTCCCACCTGCCCCTCCTGTTGATGCTTTCCTGCTCAGGAATGCTTTGAAGTTACTTTTGGATTTGAAGAGGCTTGTCTTGGCTGAAGGTTTGACAGTGTGATTGCTGAAATGATGTGTTTCTGTTTTACTCCTAGCTGTGCCAAAACGGGCTGGCCCCAGACTGTAACCTGTATTGTTACTGGGTTTTTTACTGCTGAGGTTATGATTTTCTGTAATGTGCTTTTAAAACTTGAATTTTCTTTTTCAACTTTTAAATTTCAAGTCCATCTCCCTACATGGTTTGAAAAAGAAAAACACAAACAAATAAGAAACCCAAGTGAACCAAACAAAACCCCCAACACCATGGCTCCCACTTTTCTCCCTTCTACAGTAAATCCATCTCTCATCTCAGGCAGGGCTATGAAAAACCCTTGCTACAGTGCAGAGTTTACAAGTAGTAATCAGTGTCATGTGGCGACTCTGCATAGAGGCACCTCTGGGCTTGAGGCTCAGGTTGGTCTTCGAGCGTTTTATTTGTATCCATATGTATGCACACATTTAATACATGTGTATATGTGAATCATGAGAGTTTTATTATTTATATTAGGTCATATTACATATCCTAATTTATTTTCTATATATAGAGAGGTGCACTGTCCTGTTACTGTCTGTTTTTGTTCAAATACTGAATCAATGTAATGTGAACAATGAAAATGGGAATCTCTGCTGCCCTGACTTTAAAGAAAACAGAAATGAAAGAAGAAATTCACTTGTGCTTTCAAAAGTTGCTGTCAAAGCCCTACTGGTAATTTTTTAGAGCATATTCCTGCAACTTTTTTTCTACGTCATTTTTTTTTCTTTTGTGTGTTTATTTAGGAAATGAGGAGAAAGCCATTTAGTGGGAGTGGTCTGTATTTGTATTGATTTTTATGTGGAAAGGTAGCAGTCAATCCTTGTCACCATTTGCAGTGTTAAAGTCACAGAATCATAGAACTCCCTATGAGTTGGAAGGGACCCATCAGGATCCAGTTCCTGGCCCTGCACAGGACACCCCCAGAATCACACCATGTGCCTGAAAGCATTGCCCTGTATGAGAAAACTAAATTCATACCGGAGTATGAGAAGATTTTTTGAACTTCTGTATATCCAGGGTCCACAGTCTCAATAGGTTACTCTGCATCAACCCTGTAACTCCTACTTGAGCAGCAGCATGTCTGAAAAATGCTAGTTTTGATTTAGAGGTGGGCATTTACTTATGGTTACTTAATTGTGAGCTTAATTTGCAGTCTGGCCTCCTTTAGCTTCCAGTTACACATAGATGAGATATCATTATAGCCTTTGTTTCTTTTAAAGAACCATCCGCTCTCTGAAACGTATTTCCCTAGGTGTTTGTAGGCTGAGACTAAATTCCCTCTTGACTGCCGCTTGGATACAGTCTAAATGAACTGCACTTCCTTGGTGTTTCCCCTGGGTGGAATCTTCTGGACCTTCATCTATTGCCATGCCTTTCTCAATACAGGGACCTTTGCAGTTTCTTTTTCAAACTCTTTGTCAAGTGACTACAGGAACTGATTTCCCAGGAATAGTTTCCCTGATTGTGCATGTTATGGGAATACTCCTCCCACTTCCAGTCCTGCTGTTTGTCAAACCAGTGATCTCATTTTTCCTGTAGTGTTGCACTGACAGCTTGTGCTCACTTAGTTATGTACTGTGAGCATCACGTCCATTTCATGTGTGTTGAAGCCATAATAATGATCTGCCTT